ATATACCAAAAAAAAAAACCTTTTGGTCGTTCAGTAACAAGTACACCAGATTTTTCAATAACTGTTTTTAATTGTAAATAATTATCTTCAGTTGATGTAAATGTTGGTAATAAACATTCTTTTGGACCAAGTTGAACAAGAATTGTCTTTTTTTTATTAATTGAAATAAAAAATAAAATAATATTTAAATTCAATTTTTTTTTTTTATTCTTACTTCTAAATTTGAATAATGATTTGATACAGTTACTTCACATAATTTAATTGTTAATGTATGTACATCGATTAATGCTAAGCCAAGCATCTAAAACAAAAAATGTAAAGATATCTATCTTCTGATAAATTTAAATTTATAAATAAAATACTTACGGTCACACCATTTTCAATTGCTAATTTACATGAAAGTACACCAGATGATTCTTGAGAAGTTGATGATGATGAAAAAAGTATATCTTCAAATTGAGTTAAATTGCCAGGTGATCCCTACATAATTATAGACATATTGAAGTAATTCAAAACAGTTCGCTCAATGAGAGAGATTCAAATTCGGAGTTTGTAGACGAATGAGGAAAGGTCCTCAACTGACGGATGCCGTTCGACTCCATATTATGGCTACAAGGTAGGCCTCTATGAGACTGAGAAAACCCTAAAAGGATTCGTGCCTATGGCCTATCGGTAAAGAGTTATGACCGTTTTACTGAATTTTTGGCGTGCAGCAAGGGATTTCCAAAAAATCGAATTAAAGTATTTCGACCTGAAAATTTGCCCATAGATAGGTCTAATAGTTATTATAATTGTTTGAAAGTTTCATCCAAAACGAATGTTCCTTTCTCGATATATCGAATGGTCAAGTGAACTCGGTTTTTGTGATCTGTCTGTGAAAACTGACGATTTTTTGACAATTCAATATCTCGAGAAAGGAACATTCGTTTTGGCTGAAACTTTCAAGCAATTCTAATAGCTATTAGACCTACCTATGGGCAAATTTTCAGGTCGAAATTCTTTTAATTCGATTTTTTTGGAAATCCCTTGCCGCATGCCAAAAATTCAGTAAAACAGTCATAACTCTTCACTGATAAGTCATAGGCACGAATCCTGTTAGGGTTCTCTTAGTCTCATAGAGGCCTACCTTGTAGCCATAATATGGAGTCGAACGGCGACCTTCCCTCGTAAGTAACAATTGAGAAAAATTCATTCGTTCATGACTAATTAAGATTTTTTTCGCAAAAACACGATTCTGGGAGAGGAGAAAAAAATCACTAGAAGTTTCAGATAGAATATCTGCTTCTGTCTTGAGAATGTTCAAAAACACATCGTATTTTCACAAAACAAAAAGGATTATTAACATCAATTTATCTTGAATATTTCTTATTGCACGAAAAAACTATTCGTTTTGACTGAAAGCTTTAGAATATTCTAGCAGAAACTAGAATCCATCGCACTCAATAAACTCTAGACACCGACTACAAAAACTCGAGAAAAAAGTATCTCGTATATTCGAAGCGAGTATTCAATATCGATTAGAAAATTTTATTGAAAGTATCAAATTACGGTTTGATAGAATCCGTAGGCCTGTGTGCCATATTTTCCTCTTCCGCTCGAGTTCAGTGATTTATCTAGTGGGTGGACCAGGTGGGCGGCGCCCATCCGAAATTTTGATTCGCCCACTCGGAAAACGAAATCAAAATAGAACACTGCTCGAGTCATTCTTATCTATTGTGAAGTTTCAATCGAACTTACATGATATGCTAATGTCCAATCATTAGATAATTTTTGAGTTTTTTTCCAAATTTCAACTCGATATTGTTTAATTAATAAAAGTTTACGAAGAATATTTTCAAATTGTTTATTTGATACATATATTGTTTCAAGTGGTTTATTTCCATCTTGAAAGAAGAATAAATTAATCATTTTTATTTCTCTTCGTTCTTTTTTTACCTGATGTTTTCCAATATTTTAATGCATTTGTTGAATGTAATAATTCTCGTGCAATAAAAAGTGCATCATCACCATGACATGTATAATAATCATTACGTTCAAATAATCTTATAGTTACAGCAGTTTTATTTGGTAATTTTTTATATGCTAAATAAAAATCTGTATCAACAGTTGATGTTATATCATTTTTTAAAATATTTGTTGATTCATTTAAAATTTCTTCATCATCAATATTCATTTTATTTTGTTTTTTTTTTGCTCTCTTATCTAAAACAATGGTTTTTGTTTCTTTTTTTTTTTTAGAAATCAGTTGTTCAAATTCTTTTCTATTTTTATTTTATCAACAAATAAATAAAAAAAACATCAAGATTTCTTCTTTTTTTTTTTCTTTCATAATAAAATTGATGTTAATTTATTGTTGATATTATTTTAATGAGGTTTGCCAGCAAGTCGTCGATCACGTTCTTCGGCAACTGATAATCGAATACCTTTACCGGGTGGTAATGATACATATGATTTTTGTCCACGACCAATAACAAATACATAAGCCAAACTTAAACAAAAATTTATATATATAAATTTTTATTTTTTAAATGAAACTTTTTACCGAGTAGCAAATGTATGTCCATTTGCATCTTTAACATGAACAATATCAAATGAACCTGGATGACGTTCACGTGATTGAATGATACCAACACGACCTAAGTTATGTCCACCAGTAATCATAACAATATTACCTTACAAAATAAATAATTTTTTTAGGAAAATAAAATTTGAAAAAAAAAAAAACAAAATTACCTGTATCAAATTTAATATGATCTTGAATTTTTCCAGTAGCAATATCAACTTGAACTGTATCATTAGTTTTAATATGTGGATCAGGATAACGAATTGTTCGAGCATCATGTGTTATGATATATGGTACTTTTTTTGGACCCATTCGTACAGATTTAACTTTACATAATTTATACTAAACAAAAAAGGAGAAAATCTGTTTTTTCAATAAATTCTATTGCAAGAGCTTATATATATGTAAAAAATCAATATTTTTCTCAACTGACATAACCTTCCTAATCATACAGAGATGAAAATATAATTCTCAGAGTGATTCCTAAGTCGAACAATGAATCTTTTAGGACGCATAATTTTTTTAGTATCATTTTCTAAATGATATTGTTAAGGTATCTGATGAAATCATCTAAACTATTCGACTAATGCAAGTCACTATCATAAAGAAAATATTCCTTCTATAGAATATATCGTCCCAAGAAAAAATTGAATTTTGCTTATAAAATGAGTTTTTTTTTTTGCTAAAATGTTGCCGATTTTTTACTGTGTATCGAATATCTCAACAAAGAAGTATTACAAGAAAAATCCTCTTGGGCTTTTAAGGATTAATAACACAACTTATTTATAAGACTAATTTATCAATTTAAGATACTTTCAAAAAAATGCTCTAAGAAATTTTATCATAGATACAATTCATGTTTCATAGAATCTATTTTCAAGTTTTTTTTTTGTATTATTTTTCTACCACACCATTAGAGAGATATTTACTAATCAGCTTAAAGTTTCAACATTTTTACATTTAACTTTTATTTTGAAAAATAAATCTTGTAAAAAAATTGAAGTTATATGAAAGATCGATATGTCCCATATAATAATAAGTACAGTCAAATAAACGAAAAAATATTTTTGATTTTTTCTATAATAACAAGCATCTAATTGAAATCCAAATAGTGATTCGGATAGCCAATGAAGAGCTCTATCAAATGCATCCTATACCAGATGATTTAAGGTAGCAAGATTTCTAGAAAACTCAAAACCAGATTTTTCAGACTTTGTAATAATTCGTTTCTAACAGTATCAACTTAAAGAACACAAAATTCTGAACGGTCGCCGCCTTTCCTTTCAAAAGTTATAAGCATTACAAAAATACGATTTTTAGCGGTTTCTTGATAAATTTCACTTTTTGTAATGTTTATAAATTTTGAAAGGAAAGGCGGCGACCCTTCAGAATTTTGTATTCTTTAAGTTGATACTGTTAGAAACGAATTATTACAAAGTCTGAAAAATACGGTTTTGGGTTTTCTAGAAATCTTGCTATCTTAAATCATCTGATATAGGATGCATTAATGTTTTTTTTTTGTTTCATCATCTAAAATTTACTTTAGCTTCTTCTGGTGTAATACGATGAACACAAAATCGTCCTTTAACATCATAAATTAAACGAAAATGTTCTCCTGTTTTTTCAATTGTAATAACGTCTAAAAAAAAAACAAATTATTATTCCAAAACAAAAAGAAATTTTTATTATTTAATAAACAAACCCATAAAACCAGCTGGAAATAGAAAATCAGTTCGTACACGACCATCAATTTGAATAAGACGTTGTTTACAAATTTTTCTTGCTTCTTGATATGTTAATGCATATTTTAAACGATTACGTAAAAATATAATTAATGGTAAACATTCACGTGTTTTATGTGGACCAGATGATGGTTTTGGTGCAAATACGCCACCCAATTTATCAAGCATCCAATGTTTTGGTGCATGAAGTCGTTTTAAATGTTTACGAATACCACGATACTACAAAAAAAAAAGAATTTAACAAAATAGAAATTTTTGTTTTATAATACATACACCCATGATTTATTTCTTTTTTAGTTGTTATAAATCTACAACAATATAAAAAAATAAATAAATGAAAACCAAAAAAAAACAAAAAGTTTGTTAAAGTAAAGTAACAGTAAACGAGCGATCCTTATGTAAAATATATGAATGAAAAATGAATAAAACAAACCAATCCATAATTTATATAAATATACTAAATATATATTTTTTGTTTATGAAAATTTTATTAAAAATTTTATTAGAAAATTATTTATTAAAAATATTTATATTAAAAAAAATATGGTTTTTTAAGTTGAATAGAAAATGTTTTAGTGTAAATGTATAAATGTGTTATAGAATTCAATGTAGAGGTTAATAATAGAAAATAAATCATAATGGTTTATTTTTTTTTCTTCTTCTTCTTTCCTTTCGATTTTTTATTGAAAGATTAAATGTCTGGAGGTAAGGGAAGAAAAAAATTTGTCAAAAAAAGAAGGTTTTTAATTAATTATTTCTCTAGTTGAACTTGATCTTGCTTGTCCAGAAATTGATGTTGATGATTTTTCATCAGTATCAAGTATGTATTTTGTTATTAAAACTTTTTATGAAAGCTTCATAGTCACAATTAAAACGTAATTGAGTCATAATTACACGATAGAGTTCTTCATAATGAAAAACAACAAAACAAATTTTTACCTAAGAAAAATTTCAATAATTTTTTGTTTTATATTTATGTTGATTGTTTTCGAATAGAAATCGTAAACAAAGTATTTTTTTTGTTGTACTATACTGAGAAAATATATACATGTGTACTTGTTTTTTATTGATAAGTAAAATGAATAATAATACATATACTTTTAAAGAATGTATAAAGAAAATAATATATTTATTTTATTTTTTTTTTCATATAACTAAAAAGAGAATAATGTATAGGAGAAAAAAAACAAAAGTATTCCAAAATAATATTATATTTGACATTTACTTGATCTCTAATTAAATATTCAATCTTGATAAAAATGTGTTATTTTATTCAATAAAATATACAATCTATAATCTACTTTTTTTTGTTAAAGCAAAGTATGAAACAATTTGTATAACTAAATGCAACAGATGTTCTTTACATTTAGTTTTTATTTGATACATCTCCTATTGATATTCATTCTTATTGATTAAAATTAAAGTATTGTTCATAATATAGAATTAATCTAAATTTTATTGATACTGAAAGAATAGTTTAAAATAAAATGCTAATTAATTGTTGTGTAATTTTTTTTTTTTGATATCTACTTAAAAAAGAAAGTTTAATTTCATTTATTATTTTTAAGAATCCAATCAACATGAAAATGTTTTTGCCGAGGATGATCAAGTACGATTAAAAAAAAGAGTTTTTTTTTTTTAATATCTTTAAAAAATACCATTGTTTTTTTTTTTGTTCTTAGATATTGGAATCAAATGATGAAATAACATCACTTGAGTTAACTAATGTCAATAATCTTGAAACTCAAATATCATCAAACGATAATAACATTACAACAACCGATCACTATTCTAATGGTAAATATTATACAACTCGTACCTGTGGAAATTTTTCAATTCAAAAGTAAAAAAAAAAAAAAACAATATTTCCTCTGCTTGAATACATTTGAATTGTTAGAAAAACAAGAAATCTTCTCTTTAAGTTTAATCAACTAGAAAATTTATGTAAATAATTTTAATAGAATTAAATATGATGCACTTCCTTAACCTATGATTTTTTAGTATCAACGAAATTTTCTTATCCTTCCTTAGAATATCTTCGACAAATTCCCCTAATGAAACGTATTAATTTCGATTACCATTTAATTCAAATAAAAAAAAAAGAAAATCTATCACATATTAAACTAATTTTTCATTTTTTTTCAAATAGAAGAATCTATTGATTCACAATCAAATCAGATGCAAACGAGAATAACACAAGAAAATGAACAATATAAATCAACATTAACAAATACTATACAAACTCCAATTGAAGTACAATCAATACCAATTCATGGTATTAAATAAAATAATAATAATATTTATCTTTACATTTTTCTTGTTTTTTTGTAAGATGAAAAACAAACTGGTGCTTTACAAAATATATTTCATGATACTGTTTATTTTTTAATTAAAAGTGGAAATGAAGAAAATGTTTCATTAGCTAAAGCTAAAGTAATATAAAATATTTAATTCATAATAATATACAGGATGGTCCAAAAGTTACCTATCAGTAGAGAGCTGCGGGTCCATGTGTTTTTGGACCCGGACCCGGACCCGAGCCCCAGAAAAACTAAATTTTCAGACCCGGACCCGGCTGCGTCTAAACCCGGACCCGGCCGGGTCTAGACCCGATCCTTTTTTCACCAATATTTGGCACCCTATGTGTACATGAACAGAAAAGGGAACACAATTTTAGCTCTTTATTGGCGACTTTAAAGGTAAAATGAGCGTAAAATTATTTCTGGCTGTTTCTTTTTCAATTTTGTTGACTTCAATTGTTATTGTTATATATTTCCATTCATAACTTAATGCAGACCGGATCTGACTTTTCTCTTAGATTTAGACCCGGGCCCGGGAAAAGCTAAATTTTCAGACCCGGATCCGGACCCGGTTGGGTCCGGGTCTGGAAGGACCCGCAGCTCTCTACCTATCAGTCTTAAATTACGAATAACTTTTGATAGGAATAAGATCTAGACTTGCGATTTTCACCATTTGAAAGAGCGATCTATAGAATATTCACTAAGACAAAAGATGCTTTTTAATTGACATTCTTTTTTTTTGTGTATTTTCACAATAATTTCGTCTCAAAATGTAGCTCAAATCACCCTTTTTTTTTTGCTATACAAGTATCACTATTTTTCGAAGGTTCACTTGAGAAAAGAGAGGTCGACAGAACAATGCATAAAGTGATAGTTTTATAGCGAAAAAATGGGTGATTTGAAGTACATTTTGGGCATAATTTGAGACGAGATTATTGGGAAAATATACAAAAAAAAAAGAATGTCAATTAAAAAGCATTAGTAAATATTCTATAGATCGCTCTTTCGAATGGTGAAAACCGCAAATCTAGATCTTATTCCTATCAAAAGTTATTCGTAATTTAAGACTAACTTTTGGATCATTTTAATATAATTATTATATTTAAAGGGTGTATGGTCAACACCACCTGCAAATGAAAATAAACTTAATCGAGCATTTCGAGTAAAATAGAAAAATTAAAATCATTATTTAATATGTATATATTTTTTTTCTTCTAATTTTAGCAACATCGAAATGTTATATTAATTTTTTCAGTTGCTGAAAGTAAAGCATTTCAAGGTTTTGCACGTATGTCATGTGAAGCTCGTCATGATAGTCAACCAATTAATTGGGTTTTACCACCTGGTATGAGTAATCGAGCTTTTTCTGGTGTTATCTATATTGATTGGATTTCTCGGTTAGTAAAAAAAAAATGCTAATGTTTTAATCAAATTCAAAAAAAAAACGATTTGAATAATTTATTTAGACGAAGTTTACCATTTAATCAAACTTTACATTTATTTAATTCATGGAATGAAAATAAACCTGTTAAGATTGGACGTGATGGACAGGTTTTTTTTTTAATAATTTGTTTTCTTAATATATATATATATATTATTTAGGAAATTGAACCACGTTGTGCCGAAACTTTATGTCGTTTATTTCCATCTGATCCAACAATTGATATTCTATCAATATCAAGAAAAGCAGATAAACATAAATCATCATCACGATCACCATTATCAATAAATCCATCAAAAGATATAAATCATCGTTCATCTACATCTATTGATCGTCATAGGTCAGATGTGACTCTTTATTTAATAATTATTAATCGTCTTACAAATTTGGCTATCATATTTTATACTAATTTAAATCAGTACAGAACTTTACAAAAAAAAAAAGATGTTGGTTAATTGAGGAATTTCTTTCTTTTTTTTTCGAATTATTATGGGTTACAAATATTACAATGAAAACAAGATGAAGACGAATTTACATAAATATATATGATGATGATGAACTTGAAGAAAAATGAAAAAAAAAAATAATAAGAAAAAAAGAAAAGAATTCATCAAAGAACTTTATATATTTATTAGAGACAATATATATTTATTTGTTTTATTTTCAAACAAATGTTTTTTTTTATTTTATTTTAGCAAAAACACTTGAGAACTCGATTATTTATAAAAAAAAAAAAAAAAAAAAAGAAAATATTTCGAGTTTCTTTATATTATATGCACGATAATAATAAAATAAAGGATGATTCGTGATATCTATTAATCTTAATTTAGACGTCATCGATCAAGAAGTCGAGAACGTAACAGTAAAGAATTACATCGTAAACGACGACATCGATCAAGTATGTTTATCATAAGAAACAAAAATACTCTTCCCTCACACACTGAAATCTATCGGATTCGGGTTTAATCCGATGGACTCTGTACCTCCTAGATTATAACAGACGTTTATACAACCGAACATATACTACTTACGAAGGAACATTCCCAACTGTCACATCGCTTTTGAGTCGAGCGTATGGACATTATGTAGGCCCTAATGATCTATGAATGTCCTTAAAAAAGTTCGTGCTGCTAGCTTCTTACTACTGAGATACAGCATTTTTACTGTGTGTTTAAGGAAAAAGCCGTGGTCCCCCTCAGGAACATCAGGAAAAGTGACTTTTGAGTTTCCACCTGAAACTTTGCATGTAGACAGACCTCAATAAGAATAGTTTATTGTGAAGGTTTCAGATTTTTTGGTTGCTCCTAGTCTGAGATAAGAACATCGGATCTGCTGGTGTATATGAACAATTTTACGATAGCTATATCTTAGGATAGGAACAGCGAAAAGAGCTGAAACTTTCACAATAAACTACTCTCACTGAGGTCTGTTTCTATACAAAGTTTCAAGTCAAAACTCGAAACTCAGTTTTTCTGGTTCCTGAGGGGGACTACGGCATTATGTTTAGTTAAAAATACCATAAAAATGCATTATCTCGACAATAATAAGCTAGCCGCCCGAACTCTTTTCAGGGTATTCATAGCTCATTAGGACCTACATGATGCACATAGTTCCGACTAAAAAGCGATTGAACAGTTGGTGACCTTTCCTCGTTAGAGTTAACCAAAAGTTCTGATAACAGCGTTTAAAGAATCTTATCGGATAAGGTGACCTATTCAGAAATGAAAAACCAAATATATAATGTTGTAGAATTTTTTTTAGGCGTGTCGAACGATGTATATAGTAAATCATGTTTTTCATAAGACTTTTGAAGAAACTAGTATACACTCACATCCACAAGATGACCAGAGACGCTATGTATATAAGGTTGTAGCCCGTCAAAACTTAAATGTAGATGTGTTGTCCTCTATCAGTAAATTGACTGTAGTTTCTTTAAAGTGTTATGATAACAGGATTTACTATATACACCATTCGATGCGTCTCATAAAACTTTACAACATGATATATTTGATTTTTTTCACCTTATCCGAACGCTGAGTGTATATATACACACGATATCTTTGCCAGAAAATACTAAAATCATCTGAAGTTCTGTAAAAAGAGATTTTGAAAAATTCATGACCTTGTATGACAAGTTTTTCTTGTGAGTAATCTCAACGGAAGTGATTTCAAAAATTCCGTAATTCACTGTACTTTAAATCTTATGTTCAAAGCTCTCTGATGGATAGCAAATTCTTGTTATGGTTGATTTATTCATAAAGACTGACATTTGTACTATATTTAATAGTTATTAATATTATTGAAAAGATTTTATTTACAAATATGAAAAAAAAAAAATATTCGAAAAATGAATTTGTATATACAAGTTATTTCTTTAAATTGATTTATTATTAGCATCATCAAATTCGGATCATGGTAATAAACGTAGTCCAAATCGAAAACATACACATCGTAATAATGATGATCCATCATTACCTAATAAGTTCGATAAAAGAATGTCACATATAATGGCGAAAGGAGTAAGATTAAATGCAAATGTGTGTGCTTTTTTTTTTTGTTCGTGTTATCTTACGTTTATTTAGACATATGAAGATTATGTAAAATATATGCTTGAAACTCAAGCACAATATACTGGATATGCGCCACCTATGTTTCCATCAACGGTAGTATTTCTAGATTATATTTCATTTTTATGTTTTTTTTTTTCTTCTATATTTAGACTTATCCAATGGTTTATGATCCAACTAGTCTTTATACAATGGGATATGATTCTCATAGTATACATAGTGGAGCTTATAATGATCCAATAAATATGTATTTACCTCAACCATCTTCATCGGTATCTCACAATACAACTGAAGTAAATGATTATAATTTTCAAAATTAATTAATTTTTTTTCATTTTTGATTATTTGATTAGTACGAACAAGAAATAAATGCATTTCTTCGTCATACAACATCATCATCATCTCATAAAGAAAATGATAATGGTAATCGATCACATAGAAATCATCATTATCATCATCATCATCATAAATCATCATCATTTCGGCATCGTTCAAAATCTCGTGAATATCGTCATTAGAACATTCAAAAAAAAAAAAAAAGAAAAATGAATATCTATGTTGCGTTTTTTCTTTTTTGTGTCTTGTTTTCTTTTCGAATGTGTATTCTGTGATATAGAGAAAATTTATCTAATAAAAAAACAAAAAAAAAAAAAAATAAACAAGGATAAAAAAACAATGTTTTATGATATGAGTCTTATAATATATGTCATAAATATAAACAAGTACATTGTTATGTTGTTAATCAATGAATAATATAAAATATATATATTGTCCTTATAGTTAAGGTTAATCATATAATACAAGGATATATTTAAATACAATTGTGTAGGATAATCTAATTGAATTTAATTTAAATATTATTTTCTTTAAGTCAAACAAGATCAAAGGTTTTACAAAAAAAAAAAAGAATAATACTCTGTAGACTATTACATCATTACTAGTCTATTCTTTTATTCGAAAAATCATCTGTTATCATTTGTGTACATTGTTATCGTTTAAAAAGAAAAAGAAATAGATTAGCTCATATTTAGGCAGGAATTAGATGACAAAAAAAAAAAGAAGAAAAGAAAAGATAGATTATTTGCAATTTTGTCGTTGTCGTTCGTATGCATACGTATATATATATATACATATAACTGTACGAGTCGTACACAAAATGAAACCTTTTCGTCTCTTTTTTCACATATAATAAGAAATGTTGGTGATGCAGATGTGTTCTTTTGTCATCATCACATTTGACATCTTATTCAAACAAATACAAGAATAGTAGAAAAAAGGTAATATTGTTATTCGATTTCAACAGTAAATACTTCAGATTATAGTTCTTCTAAAAATTAAATTGTTTGATTTTTGTTAAATATCTATATCAAATATCTTGTATACTTACTCTCGAGAGTAACTCAATGTCAAACTGATCATTTATTCGTCTAGAACAAAAAAAATACTTCATATGTATATTGTTTGAAGAAAGATATTCATACTCATTTTGGAAATTTCTCAATAGGTCATATAAAAACAAACAAATAATACAGGTTAATTATAATTGATTATTCATAATAAGAAAAAGAAAAAAGACATAATCATGTTTTTTACCGTTCTTATCGTTTTGTCTTGAAAATATATAAAAGTTAGATGATCATATATTTATAATAAATCACATTATATATTTCAGTCATCATTACTTTTACTTTATCTTTCATAGTGTTCTAATTTTTGTATACTCATCATTTTCTTTATTCATATTTTGTATACTTATATATTGTTCATACATACACACTTAATCAAACATCATTAGTCTAACCGCAATGATTAATAATATAACTAAGTATTTTTCTATATCATATTTGTGATGATCATCGATTTTTTATATCATTTGAATTTGATTTTTCCTTTTTCTTTAAATCAACAACGACGTCGTCAAAAAAAAAACATCATACATCAGTACTTTTTTTTTTTCTTTTTTCTTTTTTTTCTTCTTTCAATCATACTAATACATATGTATTGTTTATTGAACTTACGCCTATTCTTTTTTTTTTTCACATGCAAAGAAACACATTCGATTTGAATCGACAACAAATCATTCTTAATTTATTTTAAATCAAAACCAATGATAACTATACTTATTAATGGTGATGATATTGATGAAAATGAAAATATTGAATTGACACATTTTGTCTCTTACTTAATCGTTTACTTTGTATTAGAAGTCATATTTATAATTACCGTATGTATAACAAAGAGAAAAAAAACCGATAAGCAGAAAAAAAACACACATGCAAGGTTATTTCTTTTTCAATTAGTTGTTTTGTTTTGTACATATATTTTGATGAGAGCTAAGACATATGATAACGATTATTTCTGTATGTGCATATATAGAAACATATTCTTCAAAATTATTCGTATGAGTCTTGTTCTTTATCTGTTTTTTTTTCGATACTACGCAAACGAGAACGCAAATAAACTAGATGTTTTTGGTTGGTGTCGTTGTCGTCATCGTCAGTGTTTATTAGGAGTAGAGAAAACGCGAAAACCTATCGACAACTAGTAGACACACACACACACATAGACAGCAAAAGAGGAAGAAAGAGGGGCAGGGAGAAAGAGAGAAAAAAAAATACGTAAGACTACTCTCTAACATTAGACGACAGAACGAATATTATGTGCACGTTTAGGATCCAGCAACAGGTGATTATGATGATCTTGAAGGACAATGACAACATTACCTTCTCAACATCATCATCATTGATGTCAAAATAGTGTATAAATTTATATGTTTAATTTTTTCTTCACTTTTACATACAACGACAAATACTTACCTTAATAGTAGTTACAAAGTATTATTATTTATTCAACGAGAATATACTATGCAATTTTATACATATTCATTTTCTACTACTGACTATCGACATGGTGAAAATCCTTTTTATTCTCAGGTATAAATAAAAGGTTGATATCTAAAATGTTCTAAAAATAATTAAGTTACATTTACAAATCAGATAAGACAAAGTAATATAAATTCATGGTCATTTTTTTTTTCATTGATGAGTATATATGAATGTTTTGTATCTAAAAATGTCCTTTTTTTTTTTTTTGTTAAATATAGGCCTTTCTCAATGTTCAACAATCACAAACTGTTTCGACAACAGTTGACAACAGTATGAATTTAATGGGCCGATTAATTGATAAAACAAAACGTACGAATGTCACGCGAACATTAACAAATGAAAAACCTCAACAATCTATATTACCAATACGTATACTTGAACTTGAAGCTAAAATTGAAAATCGTCCAACCATAATAGATGAAAAAAGTTCAGCTGTATTAAAATATCGAACACCACATTTTCGGTATATAAAACCCACGAAAAAAAAAAAAAGTCGAATTCATTTATTTATTTTATATTGATGAAATTTTTAGATCTACAGCTGCTATTCAATTTCCTCCATTAGAAATAGGTGAACATTGGAAAATTGGTTGGATACAAGCATGTACACGTATGGATTTTTTAAATTCTTATGGTGATTGTGGTTATTCAAGTTGGGAATTTCCTCAATTAATATCTGGTCAAAATCCAATGATATCAGATTCTGATGGACGTAATTATCCATTTTATGGTTCAAAATCTGAAGTAATTGAACTTCATGGACCATGTACAGATTATCAAATAATAAAAGTTCTTATGAATGATAATTTTTATCCACATATAACATGGGATATTCCAACAAGTAATGAACGTTTATCACGTTTAACAAATGTAAAACGTTATCAAAATTTTTATACATGGCTTGTTGCAATGAATGTTAAAACTGGTTCAATAATTGTACTTAAAACAATAAGTTGGCAAATGAATCTTGAAATAAATGTTGATCCAATTAAACCACAAGGTTCACGTGCAATACTTATTTCAGATCCAATACCAATGCAACCAGAAATTCTTAAACAAAATATTCGTATACCAACTTGTGTACTCTATCCTCCAAATGTAAATTTTTTAAATAATATTATTAAATTGTTCACATTCATTCAATGCTATCCTTTTTCTTTTTGTTTGTTCTCTTTCATAGGCTAATAGTGCACAAATTCTTGTTTGGCATCCAGGTTGTCGTATTGGTGAAATAAGTAAACGACCTGAAATTGTTGTACCTCCAAGATGTATGTTTGTTTTACATCAAAATCCATTTTATAATCATTATATTCGACATAAAACACATACATCTATTCAAAATAAACTTAATGGTGGAAGTTCTTCGTCATCATCATCATCATCATCATCATCTGACAATAAAAGTAATCATTCACAATCAACAAAAACAAAACCTTATTGTCGTCTTATATATCCTCAAATTTCTCCTCCAAATTCATCTTCAATACCTGGCAATCGTTGTTGTAATGAGATGAAACATATTCTTGATGATCATGCTAGACTTGCTCAAGGTGTTATAGTTCGATAGTTAAAATTAGAATTTTTTTTTTTTTTTTCGAAAAAAATTTTATTTTCGTTCTTTTTCTTTTGTGAATTGTTATCTATTGAAAAGTACAGTGAGAGTTGAAGATAAGATGTCATGTAAGTGATGATTTTCTTCAATTGAAATTCTATTCATGAAGAAAACCTGTGTTATGAAATGTTTTTTTCAATTCATTCTTTTAAATAAATATGTTTTTGTAGTTATTAAAAAATACAAAAAAAAAAAAGCAAGAATCATTTTTTTGATATGAAGAATTAATTTTTTATTGAATGCTCATACGAAATTTAAAGTTTCAGTTAGAATAGGAAAACAGAAACTAATATAGAATAACAACTGATATAGAATAGAAAAAAAAAACAAACTAGGAATGGTCATCGAAGAGTTACGATTTAAATTAGTTGATCAGTATGTCTTAAATAAAAATAACGAATATTGTTTAATTATTTCGTATCCTTGCATTTGTTGTTTAAGGGCACCCACCCCCTTTCCCGGGTTTCTGAAGAACAGCTCGGTCAAAAATTATGAAATTTGTAGGGAAGATAGATCTCGAGTAGTAGAGTAAAAGTTGTCATAAACTCAGAATTCCCAGATGCTTTCTTCTATGAGATATAGGGGGCGCAGGGACCAAAAATGACCTAAAGTTTCCCCCTCGCAAACACCCAAAATTCATTTTTTGTGGCTGAATTTTTTTTTGTAGCAACTAGGACCCAATCGGAGTGTATATTTTTTTTTCTTTGAAAAATATTGTTTCCTTCGCTTATGAGCACTAAAATACTGGAAGCCCTGTCAAAAAACGTGTTTTTTTTGCCATAGGGCAAATTTTGTAAGATCTGCCAAAAACCACCAGAACATTATTTCAAAAAAAGAAAAAACATATACACTCCGATTTGGTCCTAGTTGTCACACAAAAAATTTCAGCGCAATCGGCCGAAGCGTTTGAGAGAAAAAGGGGGAAAACTTCAATTTTTCTCTAAAAACGCGAAATAACGTAAAACGACATTTTTTTCGATATTTCGCGTTTTTCATTTTTTTATGCATAGCTATCAATTAA